GCTCCGGCGCTCGCCGCCTGCGCCAGCCTCCCGCCCCCACCACTTTTTATTTTTTTTAATTTTCCCTCCTGGGTTTTTTTTTTTTTTTGGTTAAGTTGCTGCTCGTCAGGAAGCAGCAGTACCGGTCACTCGGGCGCACCGCGCGCGCTGAGGAAGCACAAACCCGGCTCCCTCCGAACTCCCCCCTGTTTACAAACACAGCTGTTGCAGGATATTTGCAATGCTAAGGATAAAGCCACCAGCAGCGAAGAGCAAACGAGAGATGGTGCAGGAGAAGGGTTTTCGGCATCTGGAAAGGACAGGGCGCCTTGTTTTTGAAACTGTCAATTCTCTCAACCCCTATTGTGAGAGCTTCATGCAAAACATCTCGGGCCTTTTAAAGCTGGGGCTTGTGAGGCCGCCTCAGATTGAAAAGGAGAGCGGGAGAGAGAGGGGCCTAGGGCATGGCAAATAATTATATCAGAACAGTAAAAAAATGCAACATAGAAGGCCTAAAATCAGATAACTGCATATCCATGTGTCCTTACCCCAAATGTTTGGGAAGTGTCCTACATTGATCAGGAAGCTCTTTGGCTCCTCTGGAATAAGAAATCCCACGTTCAACCAAAGAGCTGATAAATTGTACTTTCTTTAAGCGTGATTGTAGGGCTAAATATCAGGGGGAGGCTTGTGAATGGATAAGGTCTGTAAGTAGGACTTTAGCAAGGTAGATTCCAGGGCCTTGGTCCTTATTTTTCCAGCTAATACTTTCCATTTTCATGTAATTGCCCTTCTTTTGTACTTTGAGGCTGACCAAATAGATTTTAGGATGAGCTATGACATATTCTTTCCAGCAATCGTCTTAACCATATAAACCACAATTAACAACGTTATCTATATTTCATATTCTCCAACGTACTGCGTATGTAGAGTATTTTCCTACAGATTACCCCCGTGTATAGGAAATGCCACTTTTTTACACCTCTCTGTCTTAACCGCTCACACGTGTGAAATGTAACAAACAAAAACATGATAGCATTGTTCTTATTTCTGCAGAAACTTTAATTTATTGGCAACTAAATCTTTTATAGGAAAAAGGATCAGAGACCATTTAGAAAATCACCAAGTGAATGATTCAACAGCAAACTTCATACAACAGCTACCACTATTTTGCATTATTGCTAGTAGTGGCGTTTTAAATAAACAACCAGTAAAGAGATTATCCCACTGTAGTCAAGTAAATGTAGATTATAGAACAATCACTTCTTAAAGTAAATTGTTGTAAACTGCAAGTTACATCTTTTAAGGCAATATTCCTCGTTGCCAAAGGCATTACACGTGTTCCCTTTTTTAATGCTCTAGAGAATTAAACATAGTCCAAAACTTTCCTTTGTCTTCAATACGGTAGCAGAAATCTTCCCAATAAAATTTTCAGTGAACTCTACTTGTGGTAAATACCTATGGAGTATATTCCATAAAGTACGCACACGTCCCTAAATTGCTTTTTCCTTTATAAAATTCTGTTGATTTTTGCGTACATCAGGAACTGGAAAATGGTGGCAATACATAACTAACACATTTTAAGTTTTCTCTCAGGTAAACATTACAGCAAAATTGTAACCTCGCTCTAGAAAACCTTTGTTTTCCTCACTATGTGAACTTACCCTTATTAGAGAAAATTGGTCATTTATATGTAACTCAGTGATATGATTTTATATTATTAAGGCTGAATATGACAATACACTCTACTCGCAATAGTTATTGCAATGCAGTGAGAAACAGCTACCAAACTAGCAGAATCGGAAAGAATGCCTTTTTTTTTCCAGCGAGTTATTGTACCTGGCTAATTTTTCCAACGGTAGTAAAAACACAAATGTTCTTGTTAGTGGCTTGCACTAAACTGAGGTGTACACGTGTGAAAATTATTTGGCTCTTTAACTTCCTTGCCTTTTGCTGTTGCCCGCGGTGGGAAGGCGACGCGGAGGGGCCGGGCCCCAGGGCGACCGAGCCGGGGGCCGCGCCGCACTGCACCTCCGCCGAGCCTATTTGGTATAAATTTGTGCTTATCCCTTCCCTTCCCTTCCCTCCCTTCCCCCCCCCTCCTCGGGTTGTTTAGGGAACCTGGAAAGGCACCTCTGAAATTTGCAATTCCTGGTCAAACCAACGTATCTCTAATTGGAAGTAAACAGGGTCGGGGACGAAGTTACTTTGAAATCGATACATTGTTTAATTGACAAGTCGAAAATTTTAGGTTTTAAGTTTGCATATTGCACCTTTGCAGCATTTGGGTTTATTTCTTTTTTTTTTTTTTTCTTTTTTTTTTTTTTTGGTCGAGGGAAGACCTTTGTCAAGCAGACACGGCTTTCTGAAAGAGCTGGGGGCTTTCCTGAGCGGTGCGTTTGCACGTATTTACAGTTCTCTGGAAACAAGGCTGTAATCTGTGCAGCTCTAAACATACCAATGTAAACATTCATTTCAGAACAACTCCAGTAAGCAGATTTTTGACAACCATCGTAATTTCAGCAGAGCGCTTAAGTATGCAATGCACCTTTTGCGACTGGCAGTTTAAAGTGATGTGTGTGAGTGTGTGTGTGTGCGTGTGCATGCAGGGGGGAAGGGTAACTCCACTGAAAGGCAATTGTTTACTCTTTCTAAATATATTTGGCTGCAGGTATTCTTAGACTAGGCCTTTTACAATGAGAGGAAAACTACGGTGTGGATCTAGTAAACAGAGCTGAAATCAGTTAGTGGCTGCTTGGAATATTTCGAGACACGACGGGTGGGGAGAGGGCATCACAAAAGGCAGGAATTAAAAAATTGAAAACCAGGCAATGGACTGCCATCAGAAATGCTGACTTTGAGTCACACAGTAAACATGACATTGTTGCTTTCTTTTTTTTTTTCTTTTTTTTTTCTTTTTGATGTACGATAAATTATTCTCCCGGGATTGATCGATGAGTGGAATCCTTAAAATTTAATTTGGGAATGATCTAGTATAAATAAAATGCTAACCAATGAAAGAAACCAGCAATTATTCACCCTAAACTCTGCTGATTCAGCAACTCAATTATAACTGCCTTTCTCAAGCTGCAAACTTTTCAGATTGTTTTCGGAGTTGCTGCAGCTCCCCCCGGCCCAGAGACCTTCCCCCGTCCTCAGCTCGGCCTCCACTTCGGCCTGCAGCCTTTTTTTTTTTTTTCCCCTCCTTTCTTTTTGAGGAGTTGGGGGGGAGGGAGGGAAACAGTTAACCTCTTGAAGCGTATTTCCTCCAAATAAAAACAGTGAACTTACAAACGAAGAGGAAACCATGGATAACTCTGCAATAATTCAAAGTGTATGGAATCAGGAATTTTTTAAACAGTGTTTTTAATTGAAAATAAAGCTAAAGCATGCTTTTCAACAGTGCAAATTTCCATAATTTTGATTTACTGCTTCCATCATCACAATATATTATACCAGCGTGTCTTACCGAGGGCTAGACTCTAGAAGTCTGCCCGTTCGACTATTTCGCTATTAAGTGCAAATATAGATAATTGCCTCTGATTGTCACGTGCAGTAGAAATGTTTCTGCTACATAGAGAGGATGGTATGGAAAAACAAAACAACATTTCAAGAGATGAGGATAAAACTGAGAAATGTACTACGATTGAAATGCCTGAGTTTTGGTGCCAAAAAGCTATGAATAACATGGTATTCTCATTTTGTGTATTCTTTCCACTTATGGCCTCTCGTTTCACTTTCTGTGTTGTATTTACTGCTTTGCTATTTCCTCCAGCCAGCGTGAGGGGCTGGACCATAAATTGTACTGCTATCCGGGCAAATATTTTAGTTGCTTTGCAAGTTTGTAAGGGGCATGTTCAGACCACAACTTAAGTATGACATTAGTGGGTAACAGTAACCTTATTTAAGACCTCTGGGTGAAACAAAAAGGCTTTCCAATTGCAAAGAGTGGCTGTACAAGTAAAAAGACACCCTTTACCAAAAATAGAATTCCACATTTATTTACTGGTTTCAGATGAGGCAGCTTTTCCCAGGGCTGGGGTTGCAGGCGAACCCCAGCCTTTCCAAACCGTAGAAAAATGAGTAAGTGCAACTGCTCTTAGAAAAAGACCCCTACACCCGAAAACAAAGCTCCCGAAAAGTAGACTGCTGCCACATTGAGTTATAGTGAACCCTTACTGTGCAACCATGTAACTTAACAAACTTTAACTGAATTAACAGTTAGACTTCCATTTTCGAAATCTAGTGCATAAATTTAATGGCTCATTCTAATATTTATTATTCAACCTTTTGACATTTATTTGCAGCAGTTGAATTGAGGTACTGGTGCATTATTAGCATTTAAACAGTAAAGTGTTCCAGCTCTACCATAATAACTGAGTTTAACTTGAGTCTTTAGCCTGAAGTACTCTGTGGAATGTAACCCAAAAAACCAAAAAAGAAACAAAACAAAAAACCCAAAACAAAACAAAAAGCCACTGTTGTAATGGTAAAGAAAATAGTAATCCGGTTTCTGTCTTCACAATGTGATAAAACAGGATTCCAAAAGTGTGTATAGCATTAATGGGCTTGTACAAACCATCCTGTAGAGTTTAAAACATAAGAAAGTTAAAGGTGGTTCAAGAAAATATTTTCCAAACTATTTTATTAATTAAATTTCCTGAATTTGTGGCTAGGTGGAAGAGGTATTGCAGAACCGCCCAGCTGCCATTTCCATACAGGATGGGCCTTGTGAGGTGGTTGGGAATCCTTAGTGGTGTTTAAGGAATAAGCTGGCAACAAATCCCCATCATTGCCAATAATTAGTGATGGTGGACAGGGAAAATTTGCCATGAAATTAAATGGCCTTTTCACTGCTGATGCTACATTGCTGGCTACCCTTTTGCGTCTATTGTTAACTGTAAAATCATCCAGTGTTCCTTCATGTGTCTCAATTTTACCTGTAGGACGTGGGCTTCGAGCTGATTTCAAATTTGGTTTGACTGGAGGAGTCTGCAGTACAGGTCGCTTTCCCAAAACCAATGTCCTGTAATTTTTTCTCACCCTTGCTCCAAATTTATACTCCCCATCCTCAGGTTTTGGAGTACCTAAAGTGCATGAGAGGGCCTGACTCTGAGTCAGCAGGTTTAAGGAAGTGGTTTCTTTCTCAGTGCATGCAGAATCTTCCTTGGCTGTTAGTAAAGCGTCCTGGTTATTACTCTCAGTCACACCGTAAAACTCATCCTTAGTATCATTGCACTCACACTTTAGCTTATGTGTTGTAAGGTCGGGCTCATACTCGGCGTTCGCACTGCTGTCCTCTATTTTGATTTTAATGCTGTGCAGGAATGGCAATGCCTTATTGCCTGTATCAGTGCACTGGAGCTCTGCTGCTGCTGCCCCTGGAGAAGCAGCATCCTCCTCAGGATCAGTTTGTAAAGAGGGCAAATCCGTGGCAAATTCAATACAATGAGGGATTTTGGAATCTTTTTCTGAATTTGCTGCCGCTGATGAAGAATCATTATTTAAGAACCTAGCAGCTATTGTATTGTTATCTGCACAGTGTGTAGTAGTTGCTTGAAGGCATTTCCTTGCCTCTCTGAGTATTCTTTGTTGTGGAAATGCATTGTTTGTCTTTGGGCTAGGTGAAGAGGCCCCCTTTGCAACACAGTTAATTGTTAGGTCAGTACTCTTGGCATTATTGGCAAATTCAGAGTGTGGGAATGTGATCTCAGGCACCCTATCATCTCTGATCTCGGCGAAGCAGCTCCCCAGGCCGCCG